TACTGGATAGATGGCGTGATGGAGATGGAGAAAGCAAATTAGCATAGTTTTTCTTTATCTTTAGTTGCATACACTTCCTAGGGTTTCTAGAAAAATAACTTTCATGTTTTTACTTTTGTTAGGCATTTGAGAACAATCTTTTTCGTGCCCCAATTTATCTTCATAAGATGCCAGAAACTGATTTTCTTATCATTCGGACAAGGCAAGGTTACTACATTCGGGAATTAGTGGATATCTTTGTGGTTGGCCAGCAGTGCCCCTTATTTGAAGTTCCTGGGCCCAACTCCAAAAGGGCCAATACACATATTCGGGACTTTCTCCAGGTAAGGAGAGCATAGGGAGGGGATCAGGACATTTAAAAGGGTATGCGTATTTGGGGGCATGTCAGGAAAGATCAAAACACGTACAGGCTTAGCAGGGGAAGGACCCTGGTGACTTTTATCCTTTTTTTGGCCACATAAAAAAAGATTTGGTTTTTTGGGCAGGTTTTTATTTACCGCCTGTTCTGGAAGAGTACAGATCGGCCACGGCGGATCCGAATGGAAGATATAAAGAAAGCCTTTCCTTCTCATTCAGAAAGCAGCATCCGGAAGAGGCTAAAGCTCTGCGCTGACTTCAAACGCACAGGTCATCAGTTGTGACTGATTATTTGTCTTCCTTGCCTCTTTCCAAGAAAGGAATTATGGCTTTCAGTTAAGGATAAGCATACAGCTGATAAAGTAGAGATAGAAATAGATAATCATCAAAAGGAGGAGGTAGCAGATCTTTTACTTATGGAAGCTATAATTGCATCTTGATTTTGTCTTATATGAGATGTAGGAAACCTAGCCGTAGGGATTTTCTTGGTTAGTCGGGCTAATTGTGGCTAGGCCTAGTACCTCTTAGGTCATTGCCTGGTTCAGTCTTGGTTTGCTATCCCTGTTGTTGGTAATAAAAGGGCCTTTGGAAGTCATTCTCTCTATCTTTTCTAGGGATGGACTCAAATTGGTGGGTTCTGAAGTCTGATTTTCGTTTACCAACCGAAGAGGAAATCAGAGCTATGGTGTCTCCAGAACAGTGCTGTGCTTATTACAGCATGATAGCTGCAGAGCAGCGACTGAAGGTGAACATCTTCCTCTTGGGTACTGCCTGTGCCTGTGGGTTTTCAGATGAGATTGGGCGCATTCAGGGTGGTATGGCCGTAGACGCCTGTGGGTTTTCAGAGAGATGAGGACGAAGACCATTCTCACTGTTTTAGAAATGACGGGGAAGATTGAAAATTCTGTATGAGGTATATAGGTTCTGGGGAAAACTACAGTATAGCTAAATATCAATGGAAAGGCTTAATGAGGGGGACTTAGTGCAGATTGTTTTGCTTTGAAAATGGTTACTCATCCATTTGGTGGTGACTTTGAAGTCTCTTCTTTACAAGACAGGTATGTAAACAGGGAAAATACTTCTCAGTTGTTTGCCACAACTTTCCAGATGGGCTGTGGTGATGTGCTGCACATGTGGTTTAAAGAAGCACGGTGCCCTTGTCAGGCCAGCATGTGCCAGATCGAGCTGAGGGGAGGTAGTGCAACTCAGTCCCACGGAGTTAATGAGCATTTCTGTTCAGCTTCCTTATGTTGTCATAGCCTAAGGATGTAAAATGGTGATAGATGCAGCAAAAACTAGACAATACCTTTTCTGTATGCAAAATGTGCTTTGATAGTCTGTATTCAGTGAAACTGTATTCAATGAAACTTGTTTTGTGTTAACTGATTGATTAATGGATGGATTTGTCCTTTTCCAGGATGCTGGCTATGGTGAGAAGTCCTTTTTTGCTCCAGAAGAAGAAAATGAGGAAGATTTCCAGATGAAGATCGATGATGAGGTAGGCTTTACATTTACATTTTGTATTAGTACATTCCATTTATCCTTAAAAACAAACCCAGCTTTGTTGAGATATGATTGACATTGAATAAACAACTCCTATTTAAAGTGTACTATTTGGTATGTTTTGATATATGTTTATACCTTTGAAATTCTCATGACAAGATAATAAGTGTATTTGTCACCCCCAAGTTTTTTAGTGCCCCTTAGAAATCCCTTGCTCTCTTCTCTCCACCCTCCCTGTCCCCTGGATAACTATACTGATTTGGTTTCTATCACTATAGATGAGTTTCCATTTTCTAATATTTTAGATAAATGAATCACATAGTACGCACCCTTTCTTTTTTATATGTTATATAAAATGGGCTGTCTTAATCTAAGTGTACAGTTCAGTAGTGTTAGTACATTCACGTTGTTGTACAATCAATCTCCAGAACTCTTCATTTTCTTTTTAAAGAATGGTTTATTGATTTTTAGAGAGAGAGGAAGGGAGAGGGAGAGAGAAAGAGAAACACTTATGTGAGAGAACAACGTCAGTCAGCTGCCTCCTGTCCACCCCCTACCTAGGATCAGGCCCACAACCAGGGCATGTGTCTTTAACCTGGATTTGAACCAGCAACCTCCTGGTGTGTGGGATGATGCCCAACCAACTGAGCCACATCAGCCAGGGCTATAGTTTGTTCCTTTTCATTGCTGCACAGTATTTCATAGTATGGATGTACCATACTTTGTTTAATAACTCATGGAAGGATATTTTGGTTATTCCATTTTTGGCTATTATGAATAAAGCTGCTGTGAATGTTCACGTATAAATCTTTTTACATGTTTCCCTTTTTCTTGTAGAATTGCTATATCATGTTCTATGCTTAACTTTTGGAAGAACTGCCAGACTATTTTCTACAGTGGCCACATCATTTTACATTCTTACCAGCACTGTATGAGAGTTATAGTTTCTCCGTATCCTTGTAAACACTTGTTATTTTCCATGTTTTGTGTGTGTGTGTCTCTCCTTGTGGTTTTAATGTGCATTTCTCTAATAGGGAAGGATGTTGAGCTTCTTTTCATGTGCTTATTGATCATCCAGATATCTTCTTTGCTCAAGTGTTTGTTCATCTCTTTGCCCATTTTTATTTTTAATTAGTTGCTTGTTTTATTATCATTATTGAGTTTTGTGAGTTCTTTATGTATTCTAGGTCTGAGTCTTCTGTAGGGTATGTGATTTGCAAAGATTTTCCCTGGTCTGTGGCTCTTCTTTTTTTTTTTTTTTTTAAAAATGTTTTGGTATTTTTAATTTGTTGATTTTAGAGAGAGAAATAAGAAGGTGGTAAGAAAGAGAGAGAGATACATTGATTTGTTGTTCCACTTATTTATGCATTCATTGGTTGGTTCTTGTATGTGTCCTGACCAGGGATCAAACCCGCATATCAGGACAATGCTCTAACCAACCAAGCTACCCAGCGAGGACCTGTGGCTCTTCTTTTAATTGTCTTAACAGTTTCTTATGAAGAGCAGAAGTCCAACTTGTCAATCTTCTCTGTTACTCATGGGTTTGGTGTTATATCTGAGAAATTTTTATCTAAATCCAGGTCACAAAGACTTTATATTTTCTTCTAAAAGTTCTATTGTTTTCAATCTTATCTTTAGATCTATTTTGAATTAATTATATATAGGTAGGGTACATGGTATAGATTAAGGTTCTTTTTACATATGAATGAATGTCCAATCATTCTAGCATCTGGAATATTACGCAGCTGTAAAAAAGAAGGATCTCATACCCTTTGAGACAGCATGGAGGGACCTGGAGAGTACTATGCTAAGTGAAATAAGCCAGTAAAAACAAGACAAATATCACATGATCTCACTTATATGTGGAATCTAATGAACAAAATGAACTGACAGACAAAATAGATCCAGAAACATGGGAATAGGGAACAGACTGATGAACCTCAGAGGGTAGAGGAGGGGGAAGGGGGAAGAGATAAACCAAAGAACTTATGTGCATATATGCATAACCCATGGGCATAGACAACAGTGAGGTGAAGGCAGGCGGGCGGTGGGGGGGGATGGTGGGAGTGGGGAGGAGGTGTTCAATGGGAAAAAAAGGGAGGGGACATCTGTAATATTTTCAACAATGAAGATAAAAGTTATTTAAAGTTGAATGATCTTTCAAGACAAATTTTTGATCATATCACTCTCTTGCCCAAAGACATCCTTTGGGGACATATTTCTTTCAGGAAGAAGACCTTAACATGATTTATAAGGATCTGTATGACTTGGGTCTTGTATACAACTCTAACCTCCTCTCATCTCCTGTCATTGCCTATCTTGTACTCTAAGCTGCAAACATACTAAAACTCAGTCAGTTCCCTAAATTTCTTTTTCTTGCCTTCTAGGTTTTTATAACTTCTGTTCCTTCTACCTGGAATATTTTCTCTCCACTCTTCTACCACCTGACCTTCATCTATAAGTTACATTCTCTTGGAAGCTTTCCCTGACTCTTGCCCTCACTCTCGCCCTTCATTCAGATTGGATCATCCTTTCTTTCTTTATGTATATATAGTACTATTTTCTTTCCTATCATGGCACTGATCGTGCGGTGTTGAATTTGGTTGGTTGATTGTTTCTTCCTCACTAATATGAAGTCCATGAAAAAGCAGTTCTGGCATGTGGTAGATAATCATTCAAATCAATCAGTCAGTCAGTGAGTGAATGATTATAAATGAGGTGAAACTGAGTAAAGAAGCATTGCTGTACTATTCTCTTGAGATTGAAGTGAAAAATGATGATGACTAAGAATTTCAGAAATTAAGTAAGGATTCTGTTGAAGGCCTTCAAGATTGAATTTTGAATAGAGAAATGGCCACTTTCTAGCTAATGTACTCTTGACTAACCTGTGTAGACAAGCACATTCCCCTTAATTCCCTGATTATTTTGTGGGGTTGGTAAACACTGTTTAGGGACCCAGGAGAGGATAGGCATTTTTGACCAAAATAGTGGCAGAGGTGGAATGGACTTTGGTTTAGTGCTACTTGGGTTGGGGTCAGTGCTTCGTAAAGCATGTTTATCATCTGATTATGAGACTATCTAGGTCATTCTAAAGCCATTTGAGCAATTGGACAAACAAATAAAATCGTCAGTCTAACTCACCTCTTTGCACATCCCGAGGGTGTGGGCAGCACGTCTGAAAACTGCTGAAAGGGTATCATTGTTCCAGATACTCCTCCTCACACTGCAATCTTGACTCTATATAATAACACAATTTAAGTATCATAGAAAAGAAGAACAGCAAGCTGAGTACTGGGTAGCTTTATGTAATCATTGAACTTTGTGGACAGTTTAAGAAAGCATCCAATTGTATATTATTGTAAGTATTCCAACCATCTAAATCTGGCTAGACATAGAGCAAAGATTCCCTCAGCCTTTAGGATCTTTTTCTATACCTCAGGTTCGCACTGCTCCTTGGAATACCACAAGGGCCTTCATTGCTGCTATGAAGGGCAAGTGTCTCTTGGAGGTGACTGGGGTGGCAGATCCCACAGGATGTGGTGAAGGATTTTCCTATGTGAAGATTCCAAACAAACCAACACAGCAGAAGGTGAGACTGTCTGAATTTCTAGAAGGCGAAAATCAAGGGAGGAGGAAATGGAGGTTAAATAGTGGAGCCTAATGGGATAGAGGATCTGGAAAGCAGTTAAGTTGACGGGATGAACTTAGATGCCTATTATAAGGAATTCAACTTCTTGGGATTCTTACCTGTTTTGTTTTGTTTTTGCGCTAGGATGATAAGGAGCCTCAGCCAGTGAAGAAGACAGTGACAGGAACAGATGCAGACCTCCGTCGCCTCTCTCTGAAAAATGCCAAGCAACTTCTACGCAAATTTGGTGTGCCTGAGGAAGAGGTGGGTGTGGAAGGGGAAACTTAAAGGTTCCTAGGGGCTTATGATTTTTTAAGAATACGTTTTTATTGATTTGAGGGAGAAAGAAAGATTGATTGGCTGTCTCCTGCATGGCCCCTACTAGGGATCAATCCTGCAACCCGAGCATGTGCCCTGGCTGGGAACAGTGACCTCTTAGTGCATGGGATGGCACTCAACCCACTGAGCCCACCAGCCAGGCATCCTATGGGCTTTGTATAAAGAGGGAGAAGTTAAAGAACTATCTGAAGAATTTTGTGATGTAGCATGTAGCTGATTGGATCTTGGATACTTTTTTAGGAGTTAACTTTCCCAAAGCTTTCTGTTTAATTTGCTTTGTGTGAATTTTTTGTCTACCCCTCTTACAGTGCTTTGGTTTGTTCTGTGAAACCCCTGAATGATTCGTGTATGTGTATGTCTGTCTCTCTTGTAGATTAAAAAGTTGTCCCGCTGGGAAGTGATTGATGTGGTACGAACAATGTCAACCGAACAGGCCCGCTCTGGAGAAGGGCCAATGAGTAAATTTGCCCGTGGATCAAGGTTTTCTGTGGCTGAGCATCAAGAACGTTACAAAGAGGAATGTCAACGCATCTTTGACCTACAGAACAAGTATGTTGTTTTAGTGCCACAGGAACTCCAAGCTGGCAGGGGGTGGGGTCCCAGATATTATTTGATAATGAATAGGAGGTCACGTAATAATGTGACTTAGGTAGTGAGGTATCTGAGATTTCAGTGTGGTATATATTCATAATTCTGCTAGAGTACCTACTCCCTTCAAAAAAACTCGTTTTGAAGGGTTTTGAATGGTAAGGTGTGCTAGGTTTGAGCTTTGGTTCCGTGGTAATTTTTGTGGTTTACTTGGGCCTGGCAGCCAACCACAGTGGTGATAGGGGACAGGTGTGTTTTCTTTGAAGGCTTACTGGCTGGAGGATGGTAAAGCCCTATTAAAAATGAGCAATATGCTGATTTGTTTCTCGGACTTTCTCTGGGAATTCTCAGTATGAAATGCTATACTATTTCATATTTCAAACTTGCCTTGTTGACTAAATGTCTAGGAAAACTTTGTAAAGCTTTTCTGGTAGGGTCTCATGACTTTAGTGGATTTTGAGTATTCTTTTTTAAAGTTGATTTTCCAGTTTTCTATTCTTTCCTAAAACCATATTTGTTCAGGTTTTCCTATACTTTCATATTTTCCCTTGTCTTAGTTTATTTCTTTCTCTTTTTAGGGTTTTGTCATCAACTGAAGTCCTATCAACTGACACAGATAGCAGCTCAGCTGAAGACAGTGACTTTGAAGAAATGGGAAAGAATATCGAGAACATGTTGCAGAATAAGAAAACCAGCTCTCAGCTGTCACGTGAACGGGAGGAGCAGGAGCGGAAGGAATTACAGCGGATGCTGCTGGGTGAGGGTAGTGGCTTCACAGACAGACAGACAAAAAAGAGAAGGATCAAAGAGATATAAATAACTTCAGACTCATAACCAGGCAGAAGTAGTAGGGAATGTGTAGAAAAGCCTGTAGATGAGGTAGAGATTGATGAAAACTGGACTCTAGCTTTGTCTGGGGGGCACAAAGGGAAGAGATACTGCCAATCTACTAACTGCTTCCATCTGTGCCACGCCTTGCCAAGCCAAGGTTATCAGTGCTGTCCATCAAGTGAGCTTTCTGGGCATTCATTCATCCTAGAGGGTAAGAATTTTTAGTACAGAATCTATGGATGAATTTGGAGGGTTGTTCTTGAACTCTCTGAAATTACATGTAAAATTCTATGCATATGTACCTTTTCTGGGAAGATCCATAATTTTCAGAAAATGTTCAAAGCAGTTTTAGATCCTAAAAAGGGTTTAAAAATAACCAACCCAAAATTGCAGAAGTTGAGGGTGGAGATGATAAACGCCTAACCTGGTATGGGATATGGACACTGGGAATGAAAAGAGAAAAACCAAGGTAACCTTAAGATTTCACTCTGGACTTGCTAGAAAGATGGTGGTACCATTGATTAAAGTAGTACATTTCAAAGAAAGAAGCAGTATTAAGAAGGGAAGGTGTGATGTGTGAAATTCGAGGTCCCCATGACACGCCCTACTATGAATGTCAAGCAGGCAATTGAAAACTTCGATGTAGACACTGAAAAGAGGATAAAGGCTGAAGATGGAGGTTTAAATGACTATTCTCATAGTAGTCTCCTTTGTTTCCTTCTGTCTGTAAAAGCTTTGTGTAATTTTGTTATTCTGAACTACTTTGTAAAGATGTGATAAAGCCTTTCCACCAGGGTAGTCCTGGACCAGCAGTATCTACATCACGAGAGCTTGTTAGAAATGCAGAATCTCAGGCCTTGTCCCAAACCTACTGGAGTAGAATCTGATCCTCAGGTGATTTCTATTCATTCATATTAAAGTTTGAGAAGCATACTCTAGGCCGTGAGACTCTCGATTTGTTTCTGTGGTGACATTTTCCCCCCTGGGTGCTTGGGTGTTTTTTTTTTTTTTTTTTTTTTTTAACATGCTCATCAACTCTTTCCTGTTTGGGCTTTTCCTCTTGCACTGTTGCTCAGAGGAATCAATACTGCTCTTCTGTCCTCTATAAACAGGCAGTTCTTTGAGATCCTTTCAGAACTTTGCACTTGTAAAAATGGGAGTATTGGCAGTGGTAAAATGAAGTCAGGAAAGGACAAATCAGTATATTTGGGGGCTGGTGGGGACTTTTATACTTTCTGTAGAACCATAGTTTTGTGGCATGTTGAGCTTCGAGGTTTTCACTGAACCCCAAGAAAACGGCCATTTGGGTGGTAGGGGGAATGTGTGGAAATCTTTTTCTGCCTTGCAGCAGCAGGCTCGGCAGCAGCAGGAAACAATCACAGAGATGATGACACAGCTTCTGTGACTAGTCTTAACTCTTCTGCCACTGGCCGTTGTCTCAAGATTTATCGCACATTTCGAGACGAAGAGGGGAAAGAGTATGTTCGCTGTGAGACGGTCCGGAAACCAGCTGTTATCGATGCCTATGTGCGCATACGGACCACAAAAGACGAGGAGTTCATGTGCGTTTGTCTCACCACTTTCCACGGGATTACAAATGTTAATGGTGGGGAATGGGAGTGAGGGTGGGTGCTTGAGTTTTAGTGACAGGGTTCTACACTCTTGTCCCTGGAAGGCTACTAATAGGGAACCATCTTGCCTTTAGAGCTTTGGGTTTGGTAGAGCCAAATCACAGGGAGAATTCTAAGTGCGCCACAAAACAAAGACTGATTTTCAGTTGTGCCTGGATCCTTTGCATTTTGGTTAGTTGGTTGTCTAGCAAAAATATTAGGGATTACTCAGGTTCTGAGAGAGGTGCCACTCTGCAACTGAAAGGCTGATGAGTGGGGGAGATGGGAAATAACCCCTTTTATTTCAGTATGGATGATTTACTTTAGTTCGGAGACATTTAGCTATCAAAACAGTCTTCTTGGTTTAGGTTTGCTTATGGTCCTATGATCCCCGCCCCCTTTATTTAGTCGAAAATTTGCCCTTTTTGATGAACAACATCGAGAAGAGATGCGAAAAGAACGGCGGAGGATTCAAGAGCAGCTGAGGCGGCTTAAGCGGAACCAGGAGAAGGAGAAGCTTAAGGGTCCTCCTGAGAAAAAGCCAAAAAAATTGAAGGAGCGTCCTGACCTAAAAGTAAGTATAGTGTGGTGTGATCATAACTAACAAAGAAAAGAAGAAAGCACATCTTTCTCCTTAGCTTTTGGATCCTCCCTTACTGGGAATGAGGGCAGCATCTTCGAAACCTAGTCTGAATTGATGTGGCTACTTGAGTATTTTCAGTATTAGTATGACTGGTACCAATGACACCAAACCTAATCTGGTGCTATTGGGTGTCATTTCATACCTCATCCATTGGAAACATTTTCTAGGAGCTGAAATAGGTTTGGTGGATTTCTTTTACATGTACATATATACTTACACATGCACACATCTTGTTTTTAAATTGTATATATTAAAAGAAGCAATAGAAACAAATATAAAATACATGCTGCTTTACATAACTTAGGTAGGATTCCAGATATCAGCATACAGTGTGACTGTACCGTGCACCATAAAATGAGGCAACTGTGGTTTGGTACAAAGGACCGTGCACTGCAAACAGAAGATCTAGACAGATCTGGTTGCCATCTAATAGCACTCTGTGACCATAACCCCTTCAAACCTATTTTCTCTTCTATAAAATGATACCTATCTCACGGTGTTGTTGTATTAAGTGATGTAATACATGGGAAGCACTTTATAAAATTCTCAACAAATTTAAATTGCTGTTAACATGAAGAGAAAGAGAGAGAGAGAGAAACATCGATGCAAGAGAGACACATCAAGTGGCTGCCTCTCGCACAACCCTAACCAGGGCGGGGACAAACTGCAACTGAGGTACGTGCCCTTAGCGGGAACCGAACCCTGGTCTCTGGACCGCAGGCCGACGTTCTAACCGCTCAGCCAAACCGGCCACGGCGGTCATTAAAGTATTTTAATGTTTCTTTCTTGTACATGATCTTACAGAAATATGATACAGCATTGACCACATTTTACAGATGAAAATGGGGTCGATTTCAAAACAGATGGAAACTTGGTATTATTTAGCCTTTTCCTTGGGGTTGGGAATATGTCCCTGCTGGCTGCCTGTGCTGTTGAATGCAGTCTTGGGCTTCCAACAGTTTTTCTTCTGTACATTTACTATTTGCATAGTTTACAACTCAAATTGGGAGTGGAAATCCTCTCCCTTTTCTTTCTTTCTTTGATTTTTTTAAATCCTCACCCGATGATATTTTTCTGTTTATCTTCAGATAGAGTGGGAGGGAGAGAGGGAGAAAAAGAAAGAGAGAGAGAAACATCGATGTGAGAGAGATATATCGATTGGTTGCCTCCTGCATGACCCCAATCACAGCTGGGGACAAACTACAACCAAGGTACGTGCCCTTGG